CGGGATCCACCGGGATCCGCTTCCTCCCGGCCCCGCGTCCTTCCGCACTGCGCCGCCCGCCCCGGAAGGGAGGGGAATGGCGGGGGGGGAAACAGGTGCCGGGGCCGCGGTGGGGCGGAGCTGTGCTTAAAACAAACCGAGCCGTGTGTGGAAGACAGCCAGTCCCAAATCCCGCTGCGGGATTATTACGAGGAGCGAAACCCAAGGAACAAGCTCAGGAACAGCCGTGCGCACTGAGCGACCTCTGAGTCATCACGCTGGGCAAAGGGCTGCGATACTCACAGCGCCTCGGGTCGGGTGGGAGCTGGCTAAAGCCGGCATCTTTCCGATGGCAGTCACGGAATAGAACCGTGGAATATCCCGAGTTGGAAAGGACCCACAACCTCGGGTCCAACCACAATCGGGTCCAACCTCTGTCCCTGCACAAACACCCCAACAATCCCAGCCTGTGCATCCCTAGCAGCGCTGTCCAAACGCTGCTGGAGCTCTGGCAGCCTCGGGGCCGTGCCCATTCCCTGGGGAGCCTGGGCAGTGCCAGCACCCTCTGGGGGAAGAGCCTTTCCTGATACTCAGCCTAACCCTCCCTTGACAGAGCCCCAGCAATTCCCTCGGGTCCTATCACTGGTCAGAAAAAGCAAAGATCAGAGCTGCGTGTGGGGAGGAAGCTGCAGACCCCTGAAGAATTACCCGCTCAATCTCTTCCGCAACTGAACAAGCCCTGTACCCTCAGCCACTCGTGCGGCTTAACATGGTCTTCACTCGTCACTGACGAGTGCTCAGCTTCGGAGGCAGACTCCACGAGCCAAGGGGATTTATCCCGTTCGGCACAGCTGCCGCTGGCACAGCAGGAACAGAGAGGCCAAAGGCGAGCGAGCCCCGCGTTCTGCGCTGCTCGGGCGGACACGGAGGTGGGCAGGGCGGAACTGCAGCCCCCTGGGGCAGCTGTCCTGGGGCCCTGCCCCTGCGGGTGCGGCCCACAGCTCCCGCTCCATCGTCCCCACAGCCCCCGCGCTCCCTGCCCTTGCTGTTTTTGGGGCTTTTTTTTACCTTGGTCCTGCCCAGTCTGCAAGGCAATGCTCATCCCCAAGGGCTGGGTGCACACCGTGCTGGGGCCGGGGTTTTTGTCAGGCAGGAGGGGTTTTTTTTTTTGAGACTCCTGGGAACTACGTTCCCAGAGACTGCCGCAAATCTGTGCTGATGCCCCTCCGATGAGAGGACCCCGCTCCCACGCCTCGCGCAGCAGCGCCTGTCACTCATACTAAGCTCCGCCCGCCCGCTCACCCACCCCTCACGCGAGCCTTGCCCCGGCACCGCCCCCGCTCTCTGCTCCTCTCCTCGCACCGCTCCCCGCTGCGTCATCATTTACGTCACGCGACCACGCCCCTCCGGCGATATAAAATGGCTTCGCTGATGCCGCTTTGAACCTTACAGCAGTAGAAAGTAGGGACGGAGGTGTTTGCAGCGCTCAGAGGAGGACAACGCCAAAAGAAAAAGGGTAGGGACCACATCCAGGGGGGCACCGCAGCACAGAGAAGGGGTTGCTAAGCGGGTGGGCTCGAGGGTGTCACAGGCTGAGGAACAGAGAGGAATAAAAAGCTGTAGGATTAGAGAGCACACAGTGAAAATAAGGGGTACAGCTTAGGATATAAAATAGAGGTGCACCAGCTCTCACCCCTCCCCTAGCGCTTACCTTAAACACCCCACGAGTAACTAAGAGGCAGATGGGTATCTTGAACAGCAAAGCAGGTGCTCGAGGGTGACACACACATACCAGGGGCCAGAAACAGGGAAATAGAGGCTGACTGCTGAGGAACAGGGGGCTTGACAATGGCACAGAGAGGCTGAGGGAGGGCTAGAGACAAACAGTGAAAATAAGGGGTACAGGTTGGGATATAAGGTAGAGTACAGGTGTACCAGACCCCTAACCCAAACCCTAAATAGGAGTCCTAACAGCACCCCTGTTTCCCTGAGAGCAGCTGCAAGCAGGAACCCTAAAGCAGCAGAGTGCCAGAACCCCTGAGAGGTGCAGGCAGTACCCCTCATGCTAGGGCCAGCCAGGCCCTAGGAAGCGATAATGGGGGGGACAGATCCACAGGGTTGGGGATAACTGCGGCTTTCCCAGCCCACCCTGGGCTCTCTGTCCCTCCTCAGCCAGGGATTGCTCCCACTCCTCCTCGAGGCCGCATTTGGTAAGGGCAGGCCACCGCGAAGAGTTCGGCTCTGCAAGCATCAGTCCACCAGCAGGGCTGAAGCGTGTGGCCCAAGGACCCAGGCATTCTCAGGAGACAGTGAGTAGAAGAGCTGTTGAGTTTTGACCAACGTGCTACTGAGGTTGCACAATGATGTTTGGTTTTCTTTCTTGTAGCTGACCAAGAGACAACATCCTGGTGACGGCAGGGACCCACTGGACGGTGAGGCAGCCTTCCCTCATGCCCCATGTGGATTCTCACCCCCGGGCAGCAGACTAAGTCAAAGGCTGCAACCCGCAGAGGGGATGAAAGCAGGGTGCCGGGTCTGGGACTCATGGCCAGGGATTTTTGAGTCAGCTTTGGAGACGGGGCGGTCCCAGCTGTGGCCCCTTAGGCCACGTCAAGGGACTGTGGCACTACTGGGAACGGTGAGAAGCACGACACAGACTCTCTTGTGAGTTGAACAGGAGAGTGAGATTTATTACCTCAGATCTTCTTTTATAGACTGACACGCAAAAGTACAGAAAGGTAAAATTCTTATTGGTCAGTGAACTAATACATTGCTATCATTGGTTAGTGGGGTACACTGCCCTTTGACTTCCTTTTGTAAGAAAACAAGAAACTGACAAACAGCACCTGCAAGGCTGTCTTCTATCTTTAAGGATTGTTTTAATTCTTCTTTATGATTTCTCAGGCCACTTTCTCAGGCAAGACTGAGAAAGTTATGTGGCCTGCTTTTCCACAGGCACTGTGCTCCTTGCTTTTGCTCATATTTAGTATCCATAAGGGAAAGCTTTACTTTGGCTCACAATGCTGAGGTGCACAGGGCAGAACAGGCCCGGGGTGTGCCGTGTCACTTGTCTACTGTGTCATCTGGTTCAGCATTCTCTCAGTCCTTGTGGCCATTCTTCTGGCCGAGAGTTTTGTCTCCCTGTTGTGTCCCTGTGTCTACTGTCTTGTGTGTCACAGGTGTCTGGGTGTATTTGGCATGGAGCTGCTCTGCCCTGCTGCCTAGTCTGGGTGTAGGTGTAAAAGGACAAGTCCCAGGCACCTGTAATTTGAAATTTGGAATGTAGGGTGTAGTTGGAGTCTGGATGGTATTCCTAGATTGACACAAGATGTCTGGAGCTGTGAAGTTATCCTGCAGCACTTTGACTTCTGTCTTAGCTTGCTTTCAGATGTGGGTGGATTAAATCCACGGCAGAGCGCCTCATCCAGGCGAGGGTGTTCCCCTGAGATTGTCAGTCACTATTTGTGACTGCTGCTCATCCCTGGTTTTGTTTTGGGTTTTTTTCCCCAGTTTTTGTTTGTTTTGGTGTGGGTTTTTTGTTTTTTTTTCTTTTGCCTCATACATGTTCTTATTCTCTGTGGTGCTCCCCATGCCAGTGTTTCCCACTAGATTCTTGTGTCCTCTTCCCTGTCACTGTTCTTCTAATCTCTTTCTGTCTTGCTGCCCATCTCAAGATTTTTGTTTGGTTGGTTTGGTTTTCCCCTGGGGTTTTTTTGAGTTTCTTTTTGGGTTTCTTTTTTTGCCTCACTCATGTTCTTTCTTTATTTCTGGTGGCCATATCATGCTCCCAGTTCCACTTTCCCCCTGAATCCTTGTGTCCTGTTCCCTGTCCTTGTTCTGTTTTGCTCCTTCTCTGTTGTGCTGCTCATCCTTTTTTCTTTTTTTTTTTTTTTTCCAATTTCATCCTGCACCCCACTCTTCCTGTGTCCTCTCTTTCTGCCTCTGGCCTGTGACTGGGGGTTCTGGGGAGGAATTTCTGGGACCTGCCCCCCTTTCTTGTTGCAGCAGAGCTCCTTTTTGGGGGGATCTACACCCGGAAAGGGTTCCAATAAAGCAAGGTGCTGCTGTCCAGGGCAGTTTGAGTTGTTCTGTGCCTTCTTTGGGGGTGAGGAGCAAAGGCTGAGGGGGATGGGGTGGACACTGAGGGGCTCTGATGTCACTTGGGGCACGCCAAGGTCCCTGGGAGAGCACACGCTGCACTGGAGGAGCAAGGTGAGTGGGGAATGGGGAGGGCTTGTGCTGGGTACCCTTCCCCAGAGGGACCCCGAGCTGCCAGGAAATTCACAGGGAGGGCTGGGTGCAGAATACAAAAAGCTGTGAAGTTTTTTAGTTTTTATTGGTATTGGCAAAGAGTGGGAATTTAGTTCTAAATCCCTTTGTAAGGAAAACCTCTCTGTCACCTCTATTGTATACAGGAATAAAGGGAGCTCTGACTGGAGATAGGTAGTAGTTTTGAAAATAATGCCATAAAGTTTTGTTCTGGAGTGTCTTTATGATGCTTGTATCCCTAATCATTTGTTCTGTTTGTGCTGGGTATTAAGTTCAGCACCTTTGAGACAAATTCCCAGAGTGAAGAAGAGGGAAAAAGCAGCATGCAGTTTGTTTTCAAAAACAACATTCACTGCCCCACATCCTTCTCCAAACTCTGTTGTCTGCAGCACAGACAGACAGCAGGACAGAGCTCTCCCTTACTTTTAGTTAGTTTTTTAGCTCACTCTAGCAAAAACATTTCCCAGATTCAGACAAACACCAGGAGCTCATGCCTATGGCCCACCGAGGCCAGAGGGACTGAAAAAAGACATGCTACCCCACGACAAAAACTTTCTAGATTTATCATACCTTTGAACAGCAAAAAGTTTTATTGTTTAATATTATCTTTTTTTATCCTTGTGACTACTTTGCATGTTAAATAAATGTTTTTATTCCACTTTTCTCCAAAAAATCATTTCCCAAACCAGTTAAGAAAGAACCTGCTTAATGTTTACTTTCTAAAAAGACCCCCTCTAAAAATTTTCTCCCAAATTTACCCTAAACCAAAACAAATAAATTACTTGGTGCCCAATGTGGGGTTCAAAACAGTAAAAAACCCCTCTACTGATTACATTCTATTTGTATACTTACTGTGTGCATAAAGGACTCAGTAACTGTGTTACTTAAGTTCAAGAAGAGCAAAAAAAACCACACTTAGACTCTTTTTACTAATAATTATCACATCATAATCAAAAATAAACCCTATATAAAACCCAACACAACAAAATTACTAAAAAATAAACCAACTAACAAAACTCAAAACTAGTCAACGAACCTTAAACATTGCTTTTTTTTAGTAACCAAATCTCTACCTACTAATTAATAAACAATAATCAATACTCTATAAAAATAAATAAAAGAAACCTAATTAACAATAAAAAAAATTAAATACTAAACAATAAAAAAATCACTACCAAAACAAACTACCTATAGAAATCCATCATATAAATATTTATATCCCAAAAATAAAATGAATAGTAACCACCAAAACAATAAACAGGTACATCTAACTACAAAAATAATAAATAAATAAATGAAAAATAAACATCAATTAACCACACAAAACCAAATTATTCTTAACCCAATAAACTCATAATATCTCAAATGATCAAAATAAAAATACCAGTTATAAATAAACACAAAACCAAAAAATAAATTTAACCATAAACAATGTTTCTCATGTTATCCATAACATATACTACAATTGAACACTTATAAGAAACACAAAAACCCAAATAGAAATATAAATAAACTGAACAAATTGACTACATTACCCCAAACACACCAAAATGAAGACTACATACAATAATAAAAACTATCACTAAATAAATAACAGCCTTATCAGCAACTAAACTAAAAAACATAATATTCAATAAATATCCATATCCCCTACCATGCACCAAGTACAAATAAAAAATACAATAATCTATTAAAAGCCACCTTAAAAACATAAAAAAAATCTTACAAAAATTAAGAACATCTAACAAAATCCACCTAATTAATTAAAATCCAAAACTCCTCTAACCAAACCCTACCCAATCTCAACCCTGACATACCATAAACAAAAACAAAATCCCTGTAACAAATATAAAAAATGTATTAAAAAAACAATTAATTCTACTTCAAATAGAAACAACCCCATTCATAAAATTCTTTACTCAAAAACCAAATTACACATTATAAATAATACAAAAAATAATATATAACTCAAAAAAATCTGATAATTAAATAAAAATATATATAAACATCACTATTTACTAAATATCACTACCCTTATCTATATATATATGTATATAAAATTAAAAGATATAAATTTTAATAATAAACTAACAATATAAAAATTAAAAATAAAATATTCTAAAATAACTTTTTAATACTTCTATCCCAAATCATCTATGCTAGTTAATCTAAATATTAAATTCTCCACCTTTAAAACTAATTTCCAAAACAAACAGAAAACCCCACACAAAAACAACACTCACTCCCTCACATCCTTCTCCAAACTATATTAATCTACAATAACAAACAACAAAACAAAACTCTCCCTTACTTTGAATTAATTTTTAACAAACTAAAACAAAAAAAATCCCCAAACTTTTTTTTCCTTTTATATATATATGTACTTTCTAAAAGATAAATAATATTATATATGTTCTTGTAATATGCTTTAATCTATATTACACAGAATACAAGAATATATATAAAATAGAAGATATAAGTAAAAACTATAAATCTAAGTTTTAAAAAATTATTTAAATATAGTTTAAAATAAAGGCTTGTTTTTTATTTGGGTAGAGGCAGGGCTTTTAGATAAAATTTACAATAAATTTACAATTTAAATACGTTAAATTTATTATTTTAAATTTATTTTTATATTTTTATATTTATATTTAATTTTATATATTTAAAATTTATTATTTTTTGTAAATTAAATTTACAGTTTAAACAAAATTTACAATATACAAATATATATTAAATATGTAAAGATATATATACACACAAAGAAATAAATATACATGTTATAAATAGGTACAAATAGATTTATATTTAATATATAATATGAATAATATATGTATAGTTGTTAATAGAAATATATTTTCATATATGTTACATGTTACACCTATTTCAATATAGTATATAAATGGGAATATAAATTTGATAAAAATAGAAATTAAAAAATATTTCATTAACCATTTAAGGTGAAGGGGCTTTTTGTTTTTTATTTGGTTAGAGACAGAGCTTTTAAATTAATAATATAGAAATGAAAATATACAAATCTTTAATAAAGATATAAATATAGGGAGATATATATATATACACATATATATAAAAGAAATAAATAAAAGTAATATAAATATATACAAGTAGGTTAATATTTAATATGAAAAATATATCTGTAGATGTTAATGTGTTTTTTAGTACAGTGTGTGTTATATATGTGCATGAACATATAATATAAATATAAATATGATAAAAATAGATATTAAAAATATTTAAATAAAGTTTTTTTGCTTTTTTTTTATTTGGTTAGAGGCAGGGCTTTTAATATAGAAATGAAAATATACAAATCTATAATAAAGATATATAGGGAGATATATATAGATATAAAAAAATACAAGTAACAAATATATACAAGTAGATTAATATTCAATATGAAAAATATATGTATAGATGTTAATATATTTTAATATATATAATGCGTTATAAATGTGTATAAATATAGAATAGAAATATAAAAATAGATATTAAAAATATTTTTTTAAAGTGGCTTTTTGTTATTTATTTATTTGGTTAGAGGCAGGGCTTGTTAAATTTCGGTCGGGTGTTTTTTGGAGCGTTCCTTGTAGAGGTTTTTTTGGATAGGGGCTGCACACGTTGTTTTTTCCCTCGCTTCTCTGCACGTGCAGGGTCGCCCCCCCACGGCCGGGCCGAGCCGAGACCCCACCGCAGGAACCGGGTCAGGCTTATTGCCACACTGAAGATGGCGGCAGGCCGGCAGGACAGCGGTAGAGGCGTGGGCTCCAGTGCCTGCCGCCGCAGGCGCGGCCGCCGCCCAGCTACGGAGCCGCTGAGCCCCGCCGCCCTCGTCCTCGCGCCGGGAAAGGCGGCGGAAAATCATGAGGAGAGCGCGGAGTCGGTCGGCGTCCGCCGGTTTTCCGTTCAGGCAGCCGACTTCGACAGACGCATTGTGAGCAGCGGGGGCCTTAATTGTGCCACAACAAAGATGGCCGCTTGGCCGGAAGTGGCTTCAGCGACAACAAAAATGGCGGCGAGAAAGGGCAAAAGTTACGTGACGCTACAGACAAGATGGCCGGTCGGCTGCGGTTTTGCTTGACCTTCTAAAGATGGCGGAAAAAGAAAAAAAAGGCGGGAAAATGCAAGGACCCCGAGCGGTGCGTCTACTCGGCTGCCTGACAAACGCCCCGACGCCGACACCACTCCGGCGCGATTTTCCACGGCTTTTCCAGCCGTGCTGACACGGGCTGTGGGCTCAGCACTCAGCAGAGTCACCTCCTCCAAGGAGCCCTTCTGCACTTCCAGCAATTGCGAAATTTAGGACCAGTGTCTCTGCCTGTGCATACTGAAAAACGAGGTTCACTCGCTTAATAAATTATAAAAGGTTTAATGTAATCAAAAAGACAATTAGGAGACAAAGATAATAAAGTGTTGTGAATTCATGTTGTAAATATTGGCTTTTCACAATTATTCTGATAAATATATTATATGCTTTCACTATATTCTTTTCTCTCTTAGCAAGTTATAGGCTTAGATAGGAATTCTGAATGGTAAGGATATGTCTCATCTGGAGAAGGCAAGATAACTCCAACAGGCAAGACAATGGGAGGATCAAGCTGTGGAAAACAGGCTATTATCAGCAGCAGGAAATGGAGAGCAAACTGTTACCAAAAAGCCGGTACCAGGACGTTGGCAAGGGGGAAAGATATGAAGCCCATCTGCTCTCTGAGGAAGTATAAGGGGCCTGGACCCTTATCAACAAGTGACCATCTGCAGCAGAAAGGAAACCAAAAACTCCGAAATAATGCTGACCAGCTAGACCAGCAAAAATTATGCTGACCAACAGAAAATAAAATTGAAAAAAAACATGATCCAAGAAGGTGGAACCAGGGAGGGGATATGCTTGAATATGCATTAACCTCTCGCAGCAAGGATGGGATAAAAAGGACACTCCTGAAATACCAGGTGTGCTCTTGGCAGCGCGCCAAGGCACCCGGCCGTATCTCTTTGCTTTACTTTATGTCTCTTATTGTCTTTATTAAACATTTTTAAAATTTTACAGGAGTGAACTTCGTTTTTCACATAAAGCAAAGGGTTAAAATGGCCGGGTGCTCTGGCGCGCTGCCAGGAACACTCCTTTTACCCCATTCTGCTGTGGGGTTTTAATGCAGATTCATACTTTTCCAAGAAGTATTTTGCATGGCTACGCCCTGAATCCACCTTTTTTAGAGCATGTGTCTTAAAGATTTTGTTTTTCTTTATCACATTTTTTATTTGGGCTGGGGTTCCTTCTTCTGCAAGTGGTCAGTGCTGATAGCAGCCTGGGCCCCATCATTTGTTTCCTGGAGGTCATCTTGCTTTGCACAGACAGGACATTGCCCTTATGTCCAAAATTCTTCCTGATCTATGCCTAAAACTTGCTAGCAGGAGAAAAAGACATAGCAAAAGCATATAACATACAGCATTCATCTTAATACTTGCGTAAGCCAATATCACATTATGGATTTATAACAATACCTTAAAGAAAGTTACTGTGCAACCTATAATTTCATGTTCCAGAATGGTCCCTTTCACCCAAGCAGAAAGGTGGCACAGAAGATGCTGCTTTTCTGAGATTCCCACAACCATGGCGCAGCAGGTTGCTGTGGGAGCAGGAATTATCTGTGCAGTTCAGAAGCTGCACATCCCTAAACATTCCCTTAGGAGCATGTAGCTTCCCGTGTGCATTTAGTAGTCCAATTTGTCATTTAAGCATACTTCAAGGCAGTTTAAATTGGAATGAGCTGACTTGGTGCTAGCACATCATTAGGTATGGGATATAAGGAGGCTCACCAGACAACATTCACTGCAGATTCTCCATTCTCAGCACTCCAGCTACAGTATTCTCCTTTCTCACAGACTCTCAGTTCTGTTTCCAGCACTCCCATGAGGAAACTGATGGCCATTTCCAGATGCAAATCCTCGAGGTATCATTGATCCCAATCACTGTTCCTCTTCCCGTCCCCCACTTTGCCCCATTTATAGCCACGGCCCCACCCAGGACACAAAAGGAGGCTCCCAGGTGCCTCTTGAGACCCAAATAATTCCAGGCGGGTCAGGAAATAAATATAAATAAACTCGTCCCTTTTGGAGTAACGAACTGTCTTTGTCCCCATTCTTCCTCTGTCTCCTGTTTCTGTCACCTGAGGCAACACACAGACTGGGTGGGGTCAGAGGGAAAATGTCAAGTCCAAAACCAAACAAGACTTGTTTTTCCATTGTTTCCATCAGGACTGTTCAGTTTTTCCCACTGACCCCCAGCCATAGCCACAGGAACAGTTTCTCTCTGTGACCCACGGGGGTGGACACAGGGACGCTCATTTTGCTTCTTCCCAGAAAATGAAGCTTAGCCCATCCCACAAAACCTTTTAATCGCAGCTGGGAACGCGGCACAAATTTTATTCCATGAAACATGATCCCAGAGAGCCTCAAGTCCCGGGATAAACTTGTCCCACACAGCAGTCGGGTCCCATGTGTCAGTGCTTAAAGGCCACACACAAAGGGTCCCCCTGTGGATCCATCCCTCCCCTCTGGCTGCTCATCTGCAGGCGCCACTCGCTTCTTCCAGCCGTCACTGGAGTAAAAACCGCCTTGGGAATTTGCTTCTTATAACAGTAATCAATTTTCTGATGGGAGTCCTTGAAATAGAACTAGTATCTGCGACAAATGGGGATGCTACAGGTGGAGTGATAGCAGAGGCAATCTTGTTCCTAATCAAGTTACCCGTGGGAAGAAAACAATTCCCAGCTTTTATGCTGGAAAAGCAGGAAAAGGGAATTCTGCGTCCTCTCCTGCATAGGATGTACCTTTTCACTCTCCTATAAAGGGACCATTTGAGGCTTTAGAATGATTGGCGTGGGTCAAGGATCTGCTGCCTCAGCGGGGCAAAAGGTGGAGCTGCTGTTCGTGATTGTGACAGACCTGGATAATTAGAGATCACTGGGAAATTGTTCAGTGCACCAAAAATGATAGAGAATGTCAGCTTGACTGGTGTGACATGTAGAGCTGGGACAATGACCCTGAACACCCCAAAAACGTAAAGAAACCCTGAGCCACGCTGTGATCAGACCCCATAGGGGCGGTTTAATGGAAGCGCCAGTAAGGAATAACAGGAATTCTCTGGCCCTCAGCTTGGTCCTGCCTGCCTACACCACTGCCCTTGGGAAGTTCTTCCCAGGTGGAAAGCCAACAAACGTTTTTCCTTCATCCTTTAAAACTTTAAAAGTTTCCTTAAAACTCTTCTTTGAAAACCTCCATTCTCCCATGTTTCTCCTCAAACAGCATCCTTTCCTCCTTCTGTCTCTCTGGTCCCTCCCTGAGCGTGCGGCTTTGCTGCTCCCCGGCGCTTTGGCAATTAATATAATTGATGCTGATCCTCGCTGGGCTGGCGAGAGGCGCCGAGGGGCTCAGGCCAGGGCCGGCCGTGCCAGCGCCATGGCGCGCTGCAGCTGCTCGTACGACACAAACATCACCACGTTCCAGGAGCCCAGCCGCAGGAAGGACGGGACGAAGCTGTGTGGGTAAGAGCAGTGCTGAAGGGGACATGTCAGGGACATCCCCATCCCCAAAGTCCCGCATGTGGGTTGGGATATTTGGGGCTCTGTGCCACACGTCTGTGCGGTCATCGCAGAGGGTTTGCAGGTGCTCAGCTCACCCCTTGTAGAGGCCGGCGGGGCCATCCTGCATGAGCAGGGCCAGGAGGCAGCTCAGGGCATTGCGGTACTGCCCGGGGCTGGCGTTCATGTACCGTGTCTTCACCACGTCCACCGGTGATGCCACCACTGTGGCACAGAACCCGGCCCCAAAGGCGGCCACAAAGTGGCACGGGACATTGTCTAAAGGTGGGGAAGAGACAGGAATTGGATGTTGCAGGGACAGGGATGGCGCCTGGCCGTGCTCCCCTGCGCCATCCTCACCTGTCATGAGCTGTGCCCGCAGCAGCGCGTCCTTGAGGAGGTCGTAGGTGACGAGCTCCCCGCAGTTGATGATGGCATTGCGAGCAATGTTGGGCAGCGTCCCTGGGCAGGAGGGCGGTGGCGTTGGGAATGCTGCTCACAGCCCCTCCTGGAGCACCCTGGGCAGGTGCCCCTGCCCTGCTGTCCCCATCCTTCTTCCCTTCCTCATCACCGTTTCCATTTCTATTCCCACTCCATCCCCTTCCCAGGCCCACTCCTACCTCTCCAGAGCCCGCGGATCCCCTCCTCCCTGGCGATGGTGCGATAGGCGTCCACGGTGCCGCTGTACCGGCGGGCACTGTCTGACAGGGCCCCACTGGCCTGGAACCGGACCTTGACCACGTCGGTGGGCTGGGCACAGGCCACGGCCACAGCCCCCGTGGTGCAGCCAGCCAGGAGCCTCGCAGCCATGCCTGTGTCTGGAGAGGGCAGGAATTGGGACTGCCGACCCTGCAGGGTCCCCCAGCCCTCCAGGGACCCCAGGGTGAGTGGCCTGTGGTGCCTCACAGCGTCATCTCAGGGGGCTGTGCCTCCCCCAGGGTGAGTTTCTCCGCGGGAGAGGGCCGTGCAGCAGGAAGGGGGTGCGCAGGGAAGTCCGGACTGCCTAGACACTCACTCTCAGCACCCTTGGGGGTGTAGAGCTGCTTCACAGAGTCGTACAGGCCGATGCGGATGGAGGCGAAGCTCATCTGGCGCTGCAGCCCGGCTGCGAGCCCGCTGTAGAGGCTGCGGGCTCCCTCCGTCCTCACCATGGTGCTCAGCGTCCCCAAAACACCCCGGTACTCCACAGAGCCGATAGTCCGGGGGATCCTCACCTCGCCCTGGATCTATGGGGTGCCAAATGTATCACCCCCCCGTCTGTTCCTCCCCAAGCGCCACCAGCTCTGTGGCAGAGCATGGAGAGCCCCTCGTGTCACCAGGTGCTGCTCCCTTTGCCCACAGGGTTTTGGGGACCCGGCGGATCGTACCTGCAGCCGCACTTTGGCGGTGTCCAGGGGAAAGGTGCACAGGTCAGCGATGCAGCCGGCCATCCCTGCACTGATGAACTTCATGGCGGCCGTCGGGGGCACCTCAGGGGCCTTCAGACCCACCATGGCGGCAGAGGGGCTGGAAGGAGAGGAGGGGCTTGTGGGGGAGCCAGGAGGGTGCATCAGGACAGGGCTCCTCGTGGGTGTCCCCATTCAGTGACGGTGCCGTGGCAGCTCTTGATGGCTTTGGTCCCAAAAACCATATCCTGCTCTGTCTCCCCCCTTTATCCCAGGGAAGCTGAGGCACAGGACTTGCTAAGCATGGGATCACCAATGCCTACCCTTCCCTATCCCACCCCAGCCATTACAGGGGTTGCTGAGTGAGATCATCTCCCTCAGAGTGACCTGCCCAGAGTCATGTCCCTCCGTGGCCTCACCGTAGGGACCTCGGCACAGCGTTCCAGCTCCTGCCTTGCACAGGCAGTGCCCTGAGAGCCGTCGCCCTGGCCCCAATCTTATATAGCACCCAGGAGGACATTCCAGCAGCCAGGGATCGGGTGACAGGAAAACAGTGTTCCCCCGGTGGCATTTCAGTTGATGGGACTGGGTCACCTGGCACCTGTGATGAGGTGGCTGTTTCAGCCCTCTGCCCCCCTCACGGGGCCCAGGCATGGGGAGGGGGGTCCTGCTCAGATCCCCTGCAGTGGACTGGGGAGGAATGCCGGGTTTTACCCTAAAACTACTCTGGGAAGGACGGGATGCAGAAAACTTTCATCCCAAGTTTTCACAAGTGTTTCAGAGGCAGCGCAGCACTGAGCTCTTTGTGCAGGGCAGGTTGGATCCCTTTGCCCCACACAGACCACGAGCCACAATCCATCCTAGGCTCCCAGCAGGATTGCCTCTGTATGGTGGAATGTGTTCCCCAAGCTCAGGGGCCAGGTGAGCACCTTGGAGTGAAATCCATCAAACCCACGATGCCCTTCAGAGCGTAGCCAGGCACTGGATCTGAGGCTGCAGAGAGGGCACAGGTTCAGGACAACAGGCTGGAGGCCAAGGTGGAGTGAAGAAATGCCCCTTTTCCTCCATTTTTAAGAAACTCTGCATGTTTAACCCTTGGTGCTCATTAGCCCCACATACAGAAAGGTCCCTCAGGATGTGCTGCGAGCCTCCACACTCGCACCTGAGCTCACCTTGCACAAGAGGGACTGTGAGTGGTCCTGACACCCTGAAGCTACCTTCGCTCCATCCCTTGGGTCCAGACAAAAGCTGCCTGGCACCAACACCCCTCTCCAGCTGGCTCCTGCCTTGTTTTCCTGCCCAGCTGACCTAAACCTGAAAGGAAGAAGCTGTTTACCTCATACCCAAGATGTAGCTCAGGGGTCAGTGCTGTGACCTCCTCTGTGACAGTGATGCCAGCTGGGCTGGCATCTTGTCTGAGCTTTTTTTAGGGGTGCCACTAGGAGAAAGCAGTCTGCACGTCACTCCTGTCCTTCCAGGGGACACTGGGTGCTTTTGCCTCACATCCTGACCCAGCAAGGGCAGGGAAAGAGGCCACAATCACAGGGCAAGTTGTGTCAGTATTCAGGGAATACATAATTATCCTTGAGAAAAATACTGCAGAAGTGGGAGAAAAAAGGGATGCTGATCATTTGGTTGCTTAAATCCCGAATTCCACACATGGTTTGAAAAGCAGCTCAGATTGGAAGCGACTCATCCCACATGGGGCTGTGCTGCACATTGATACTCAAGTCCTTGGTGATCTTTCCACGTGCTCCTGGCCACCCCAGCTTCCAGCAGCATTTCTCTGATTTGGAAGCTCACATGGGAGAGACTCCTGTTGAGGAAAGGTTCCTGCCCTGGCATAGGGACACTTTGCATGGGCTGACAAGAAACCAGGGGAATTTTATTGAAACAAACACTGGAGAGAGCAATACAAAAATAATTGAGCTCTGTTGGCATCAAAATCTGTTCTCTGAAAGGTGTACAAAAATAATTTAAATATAAATATAAAAGTCCCATCTTTCAAGTCACCCTCTTTTTTGTACACCAATCAGATTTTACAGTGTCCTGGGCCTGTGTTCACACAAGCACTTTGGGCACCTGTGGAAACAGAGAATTGTGTTGCCCACCGACTATTTTTGAAGGGGACATTTCACAGGAATAAACCCTAAAACCAGACTACTTGGAGAGCAGACAACAAGCCATGGGTTACCCACAGGGGTATGTCTCATAGGGACCTGCCCCAACAAGAAGCAGCTCCCTGGGGGTGACCACAGGCTTTAAGCCCTTCTCAATAGGGGACTTCAATTAACTAACCAATTAGGCAAACTAAAAACAGCCTGAAAGCTGTGGCTTCCACCTCCCCTTTACTGGAGGGCTCAGCCTCTGCCAATGCATCTGGCCACGGCTTAGGGAGCTCTGCTGTGGATGGTCTTGGGCCAGCACTATTCCTTCTTGGAGAGCTGAGCAGAGAAGATCCTGGTGATTCTTTTGGCTTCCTCTTCCGAGAGCTGGGGGCTGGGCCTGGGCCGATTTGCTCTTCGGTAGGGGATTCCTCCGGGCACCGCTGCACTCCTGCTCTGGGGAGAGAAGGGACCAGGAGTGAGAGCTCTGCCCTGAGCTTGGTTTCATGTCGTGGCAAACCACGGTGCTGTGCAGAGGGTGACAAGTGGGATACACAGAAAAAAACACCCCAACGAGAGAAAGAGAACAATCTGAACCCTGGAACGGGGCTCTGGTGTGTGACCTCTGAGCTTGTAAGCATCCCTCCTCAGCCAAGATCTCCCTGTATGAAGCCAAAGGAATGACAGTGGTGTAGTCACTGCGACCTGTCTGCATTTTGGCTTTCAATTATTATTTTACTTTAAAATTCGCAGAACCCTGAAGACCAAATCTCCTCACAGGGGAGAGGCAATATTCTGTTACAACAAATCTTAAGCCTGATGACAGGACAAGGCAGGGAATGGGTTTAAACCAAAAGAGGAGAGATTTAGATTAGATGTTGGGAAGAAATTCTTCCCCCTATGAGAGTGGGGAGGCCCTGGCACACGTTACTCAGAGAAGCTGTGGCTGCCCCTGGATCCCTGGAAGTGCCCAAGGCCAGGTTGGATACGGTTTAGAGCAATCTGGCCCAGTGGAAGCCATGGCAGGGGGTGGGGCTGGTTAAGTTTAAGGTCCCTCCCAGCCCAAACCATCACTGTGATTCCATGATAAATGGGATGGGCCAAGTTCAGCTGCCTTCAGGGACCCCAAAGTAGCACCCATGAGAGGAAAAGCCCTGCTTTAAACAGTGTCATCTCACTGCTTTGCCAGCAGCCTCCCAGCAGCCTGGCTTTGTCCCTGATGTGCCAGCAGCACTAAAAGATGAGTAATTTCAGCATACAAAGAAACACATTTCTCCCCAAATAGTTTAGAGCTTAGCTGTGCCGTGCCAGTGAAGCACTGAGAAAGAGATCCTGCTCCAAAACCTTTACAGGAGGAAGCTGTGGGGCCAGGAAAGTCTTTTGGAAAACTGATCTGCCAGTGTGGCCTTTCACCTACATCACTGGGCTGCTTCTCCAAGCCTTGGGAAAGGTCTCCTGAGGTGCCCAGCTCCCTCTGGATGCAGAGAAACAGCATCAGTGTTTTGGTGCACTCTCACCATTTGGAAAGGGAAATGGCTTTTTTAGGAATAAGTTAGTCCTTGTGTTTGCGTATTACAGTCTCAGGTGACAGCCTGCAGGTAAAATACTTTAAAACACTTCCCATTTTTATCTCATTGAAATAACAAATATGGACAATTAGGAGAATCTTTGTTTTGCTCTTCTTTCTTCTTAACAATTCTCCATGATGAATTTCCAAAGTCAAAAGGTAAGGAGCCAAGAGAGATTAAATGCAGACCTGGCCACAGTAGAAGCTTAAAAACCAGCAGAGAGCTGCTTACTGGGCAAAGCACTTCCCTTGGACAGGACTGTCCAGAGACCAGGACAGGAGCTCATTCTTCCCACGCTGTTTTCTGCCCATCTGTCCAAGGAACAGCCAAAAAGTCAGGAGTGGCTGGAGAGGGGCAGTGATCAGGCTCTGTGCTGATCCCTGAGCTCTGCACAGCCATCTGAAAGCATCTCTCCAGGAAATTCCCCCAATCTGCCAATTAACTATTTCAAAGGTGCATGAAACTGCATTTCCTGCCTCCCACAGCTCCCCTTTCCCATGTGCCATGTGTCCTGCACAGACAGGGATGGAGAGCCAGCACCTCCTATTTTCAGTGTAAGGAACAGAACCACAGAATGTTTTGGGTGGGAAAGAACCTTAGAGCTCCATCCAGAGCCACCCCTACCATGGACACGGACACCTCCCACTGTCCCAGGCTGCTCCAAGCCCCGTCCAACCCAGCCTTGGGCACTTCCAGGGATCCAGGGGGAGCCACAGCTTCTCTGGGCACCCTGTGCCAGGGCCTGCCCACCCTCACAGTCAATAGTTCCTTCCTAACATCTAATACCCCTAAATTGCTCTGTACTCCAAAGCCACAACACAAGAGCAGGTGCCTGATGCTATTTGATGTCACCGAGGCAAAGCAGAGCAGTCTGTTTGCTCCCAAAGTCAGGAAACTAGGTGTGCTTGGAAAACACACCACTGGCAGGTTGTTTCAGAGATGAGCAGCTAAAATAAACCTCCTCCCATTTTCCTACCATTGCCCAATGTGCAGGATGAAGTGCTGTTAAGACATATGTATCTATCCTAATGACCTTCCTGAAAATGAACTTCCAGCTGTGGGAAAGATTTAACACCAGTTCTTGCTGCTATTTTACATGTACAGGTGTGACTCAAAATGAGCGAAGTTTAAAAACACCATTAACACTCCCAGCTCACACAGATGACCAGAATCATAGAATCATGGAATTATTGAGGTTGGAGAACACACGTAAGATCATGGAGCCCAACTGTTCCCTCAGCACTGCCAAGGCCACGTGCCCAACTGCCACATCCACACAGCTTTAAACCCCTCCAGGAATCACCACTGCCCTGGGCAGCTGTGCCAGTGCTGGACTACCTTTTGGGGGAAGACATTTTCCCTATTATCCAACCTAAACCTCCCCTGGCACAGCTTGAAGGCATTTTGTCTTGTCCCTTGTTGCCTGGGAGCAGAGCCTGAACCCCCGGCTGTCCCCTCCTGTCAGGGAGTTGTGCAAAGCCAAAAGGGCCCCCTGGAGCCTCCTCTTCTCCAGGCTGAACCCCTTTCCCAGCTCCCTCAGCTGCTCCTGGTGCTCGATCCTTCCCCAGCTCCCTTGCTCTTTTTTGGACATCAAACCTCCCTTTGATCCATCTCACAGGCAGGTTCTGACTGCCAGTTTTATCCTCCTGCATAGTTTCCAGAGCACACATCTGAAATGTTGTGTTTACACCATTCCTCACCCCAGGAACAGGCTCAGCTCAGTGCCCATCCCAGCTTTCTCCCTCTGTGTCTCTCAGACTCCAAGTGTCTGGTGCTCAGCCAGGAAGCACACACGTTCCATGGGGAAGATCCAAGAGGAAAGGGGACTCATGCACCGAGGATCACGCTTCACTCTCCTTTTTATAGGAATGGCAGTGACACTGAAACCAGCTGAGTATTATTCAGTGCCTGTGTGCCAGAGGCTGGACTAAAGCAGATTCATGAGCATGTTATAGGGCATAGCCTCTTCCAAGGTCAAAGAAGTCCGGTCCTAGAGGCAGAGAATGTTTCAGTGCTGTGGCTCAGCAAGTTTGCCAGCAGTTTTGTTTGTGCACAGGATGGAGGGCAAACAGATCTGTATTAACAGGCTACAACCTACCCTGGCAGTGGCCTTGCACCTCCTTCTGCTTTCCAGGCAGGAAACCAAGAAGATCCAGGAGATCAAGAAGAAACACAACCAAGAAAGGATGTTTTGGCTGTTGCTGCCATTGACATTTTTGGAACATATAAAGCTTGTTAATTGTGAATCTGCCCAAGGCTGTGTTATTTCTAATTCACACTGAAGGTAAATCTGCATACACAAATATGAATTATTCTGAGTAAAACTGGTTTCCATGTAAGTTTCTTATCCTTTTGGAATATTCCTAGAGGTG